GCAGTAGCAGCGGCAGCAAGAATTCTGCGATCTTCATTCCCACCCCGTTTCACTTTATCATCACTTAAACATTTTTCGATACTTCGAAGCAACTTAATTAAATTCCACTTCCTCTTCGTTACTCTGGTTACGATGCTTCTTCCGGACATTTTTATCGTAATATGTCAATTCATTTCGCATGATACATTTCATATGTTTCAAAATAATATTTGTCCATGTATATTAATTAATCAAATTAATTAATCAAAACCTTCAGAAGAATACTGGTTTTATTCAAGACAATGGTTTATCGAATCATTCGGGTGGTAATTTCGGAGATTCTTCAGAAAATTGTTGTTCACGATCCCGACTGGTTTTTATTATCCCCTAGTGAAAACGGGAAATGTACTGCTCTCTTTAAGATTACAAGAATATCCAGCACTATAATTTGCCGTACACAAATGAAACCGAAACCCATACATATATCGGCGTTTGACAGAATCACCTGAAACCATTGCTGTCAAAACATCATTTGGTTGAATCCCCATAATCTATCCACATCACTTTGGATGTTCAAAACTTGATACCTATGATGCAAGCACTGTAGTTTGCTGGCAAGATTTGTTCAAAGGATTTTCAGTGTTATAACATTACTTCCACAAATGCCTTGTTTGTACGGCTCATTGGTTAATTGTTGCATGTGCGGTACAAGTGTTAAAGAGCTGAACCAAGTAGACCCACAATTACCCCTTTATTTGGTCTGGTGAGCATCAACCTTAAAGTATTTAAATTCAATAGAACATATTTCCCTAAGGTGTAAACTTTCTTTCCCTGTTTTGTCTACTTATTATCCCGCACATTTTCAAATAACCGTTATCTCATGGGGAACGGTTATTAGGAGAGGGTCAATGATAAAAGGGACCTCATTTGACTTCGCAGAGGCCGTATGGACAATGCAGCTTTCATACAAAAACTACATTGGAGTCGCGTTACAGTTGATTTCTATCCGTCACCACTGCTGGAGTACAACCCGGCGGTGGAGCGAACATGAACCAAAATGTAAGGTCGTAAACAAACAGAAAATTTGTTCAAATCAGGGAAAACACAGGGTCACTGTGGTTACAGTTAGTCTGTAAGTTGTGTAGTCATTGAACTGTCTACGGATAGCTGAGTGCTGCCGAGCTCCTTTCCAAGTCGCGGATAGGAGAACGGCCACCTTAGTGGTTAACCGTGAATAGGTGGGGCTACCTCACTGCATATTCGGTCTTGGACGATCAGCGGGAATGCTAGAGGACGCGGTGTGGTTTTCGACTGGCAACCGATATCCCATTCAAATGCCACAAGTGACTGCTGACAGTATCGCAGCGTGTGCAAATGCGGCCCGCCACCAAATAAGGCCATTGCTACTTACCTACTCTTACAAGTAGGACAAACTTTGAGGAATGCTACCGACGCTGTTACCTCACGGACACCTTGGGATCCTGGACTGGCGCAGAGCCATCCAAGAGACGTATGAACCGTTCTATCGGTCACCGGCTAACAACAATTCTACTCTGTTACCCTGCAGGTTGCACTTGGTTGTGCAAGGCTTAGAGGTGCACCCTCGAACAAAAGCCGAGCGACCCTGGGGAAGTCATTTAGTACTTCATTTCCTAGTTTCTTCATGGATCGTCTTACAATGGTACATCACGCTAATGCTACAGCGTTCCTGGGAAGCGACGTACCCAGTGCTCTTTCGGTGGGAACCTAAGCCATCTATGCACCAGAACCAGCATCCATGTAGCCTGCTTGAATGTTAGAACATTGCTACACACAGGAAGCCAGTGTATCACAATGCGATCACTATACGACTACACCTTTTGTCTGTCCGAAGTCCGACTACCTAACCGTGGAACAAAACTATTCAACTTTATAAATAGCAACGAAACATACCGATTATATCAGAGAGGTTCAACTGACAACTCCGGTTTGCAAGGGCTGGCAATCTCTATGAGCGGCCGGGTAAACAATGCCATGATCTCCTGGAAACCAATCTTTCCCAGGATTGCCATAGCGCGCTTCATGTGTAAGCCGTTTAACCTGACTGTCATTGCTGCATATGCTTCAACGTTACATGGAGAAGAGCCCAGCAAAGACAACTTCTACAACCAAATACAAAACGCAGTGAACCGCAGTCCGAGACGGGACATTCTGGTTATCGCAGTAGACTGGAATGCACGCACTGGTGCATCAGAGAAACATAATCGGCATGTTCTGGGAAAGTTCGGCCTTTGTTAACGTTGCGAAAATGGTGAACGCCTGGTCACAGTACCTGACCTTAACCGGATGGCCTCGGTCAACATTCGTTTTCTCCACCCCAGAAAACACCTGCTTACGTGGTACTCAAATTAGGGTCGAATGGCACACCAAATTGATTATATTTTGGTATTTGCTTGCTGATCTTCTTCGGTGGAAGACTGCCGTTCATATCGCGGCACGGAAATTGGAAACAGGAACAGTACGGACCATACCCTTGTACGTGTCTTCTTCAAGATCCATCTGGCTACTCACCGCAAGACTCGTCTCCAGGGTAAATTTATTGTCGCACTCTTGGAACTACCTGAGAGAAGGCAGGCGCTGCTAGACGCAACCACTTCCAATATAGCCGAAACTTTCGTTGATGACTCAACTATCGATGCACAGTAGTCTACATTGAAGGCGTCCAACACAGACGCGGCGCTGGTTCATTTAGGTGAGATTACTCACCACAAGAGAGGCAGGATCTCCGAACGTACACTGCAGTTGTCTGCAAAGACAAGCTATGTGCGGCTAATCAATTCTCCTGGAATTCGTATTTTCCGCCGCCAAGCTACACGCCCCGACAAGAGTGATCGTACACAATAACGAAAGACGATTGCAGACAACATGGAGGCTGCAACCGCCGCAGCGGACTTTGAAAAGCTATTTCGTTCAATTCGTCTCGCTGCAGGAAAGAGGCAGACATCGGAACCACTGTTGCGCAGCACCACAGGCCCACTTATTCAGGGAACTGAGTAAAAGACTCAAAGATGGGTTGAACACTTCGACGGCCTGCCCAACCCCTCATCTACCCAAGCTCGCTCTCTGCAGGTGTCNAGGTGTCAAACAGTTCGGAGACTTACGACATCAATTGTGACCCATCTAGTGCAACATTAATCACCAATGCCGTCACTTCTCTGAAAATCAGGAAGGCCCCTGAAAAAGACGGGATACCACCAGAGTAATTCAAAGCTTGTTTACCAATTCTGATTGATCCGCTGCACTCTTTTTCCCACACCGTTTGGGAAAGAGAAGTTTTTCCAGAAGACTGGACGGCTTCAATTTTAGTCCCTGTCCCAAAAAAGAGCGACAGATCTAAATGCGAAAATTACAGGGGTATTAGGCTGATTTATATGGTTGCTAAATTGTTTGCAGTGATACGACTTAATCGCTTCGCAGTCGTCAGAGATACCCGCACTCGCCCGTAACAAGGGGACTTTTGCCGTGGAAGAGACTGTGTTTAATAAATCTTCACTCTCCGTATAACTTTGAAACACCGCTGCAAGTTCCAACAGCCCACCACTGCATGTTCTGCGCTGCGTTCGACTCTGTCGACAGACAACCCTTGTGGTGCATATGGCGGTCCGACAGGATGCCTGAGAAGTTCATCAGGCTTTTAAAGTCACACTACTCGGGAACCCGGGCACACGTCCGTATCTATGGAGGTGAATCTGCTGAGTTTACCCTAAGCTCTGAAGTTAGATAAGGTTGTCTCCTATTGGCGGGGTTATTTAATTACACCGCATTCATCAACTACCCTGAAGTGCAGCTTGGCCAAGGTACATGGATTGCGGATGATGTCGTTGTACTTGGAGACACCATGGATAACCTCCAGCCTATTGTCAATCGCATACATCATTTTGTCCAGGCCATCGAGCTAGAGATCAACAAGTCGAAAAAGAAGACATTTTCGACCGAAACTTCTGCCATGACACAAACCCTCTCGGTTAACGATGTGCTTGTCGAATCAACCGAAGTTTTCAAATATCTCGGCTCTACTATTAGACCAAACGACCAGAATTAGAATGAAATCCAACTCCGTGTAGATGGAGTTAGAAGAGTCTTCCTGCAACTCCTCAAACCGTTATGAAATCTATGCGAAATAAGCTTAAACATTAAGCCTCAGGTTTATCAGGCTTCTATCAGCCCCATTCTCATTTATGTTTGTTTAACCTGGCCGCTCAGTGTACAGGATACAAGGAAGCTCGAAGTCTTTGATCATTGGTGCTTACACCGCATCTTGAAAGTAAATTGGAGAGATCGGTATTTCAGTGATGAGTTTCGACGGCTTACGTGAACATTGACATGCTTTCCAAAATGCTACAACGCCGGCGCCTTCAGTTTGTTTGGCCATGTGCTCCGAAGGTTCGACAATCAACTCTCGCGACAGGCTGTAGCCTCTGCACCGTGTCATGGATGTCGTTGCCGACTCAGTCTTCAACTGGAGACCTGGAGCAATATGATCAAGGCAGATTTAGAAATACTAAACCTTCAATCAGTATATGGAATTCGCAACTAGAACCAGAACTAGTTTTTGCACTGCGTCAACCTTGCTAACGATCGTCATGCATGGGCCGCCATCATTAAAGACATCCAAGAAGCCAACTTATCCTCCCACAGGAGTTAATCGACCAAAAGGAAAAAGTAAAGTATGTAAGACTTGAAAAGCCACTCACAAGTGAGTAGTATTTCACATCACTTTTCCCCCGTAGAAATGGAACTTTGTATGCAGCGGGCAATCAGTTCTTTCTTCTGAGAGTTCAAAATGGTCCGCATTTGGTTGATAGTTTCTTGTGGCTTCATGATTAACTTTTGGTGACCCTACCAGTCGATTGACTTCCGAAGACTTTTGGCGTACGGCTTCGATCTCTGCGCCATATATTGTGTTCACTTCGATACATGCCTCTGTTGTCACTTATCTCCTGAAGCACATTCATTGGGATCTTCTTTATCCGGATTTTTAGTTAACTTCGCCATCTAGCGAGTAACTTCGCCTCTTCAGGGTCACCTGTACGGCCTCCAACATGGCGCTTGGTTTCCATTATTAACTTGCTTGTGATTTTGTTTAGCGATTTGGCGAACCTTTGCTTGTCCGTCATGTTCCCAATGGAGAAAGTTCGATTTGCTGCACTATCAACTTGCGGCTCGTTTCCTCCAGCTATCTCCTCTGCCGTATTCGAGGTTTCTAATGAATCAGTTGACTGAAGTTCTGCTGTATAAACCGCCGCACATGTATCAGACAAACAAGACACTTTCTGATCCCCCATCTCTATATGGGTCTGGACTGAACAATTATCGGTCGTTCCGGAGTGAGCTTTGTCTGGGTAAACCGATTTTAACGCACACAGGGGTTCTCTCAGAGACAACTTGCGTTGTGTTTCGGGGCAATTTTTCTGCCAGCGCTCCGGATCTTCGAGCTCAAAGTCCCCATTCTCGATGGCTCTCTGATTGAAATCGGTTCGGATGGCTGCCAAATCCGTTAGTTTCTTCAAAGGTGCCGTAAATCTCATAGGCTGACATCTAGGACCTTCGGTTGGCTGGTCAGATGTCATTTTCTTTCAAGTGAATTCCCTCAATACATCCTCCAGTTTGAAAGCATCCATGGTCTTCTCGGCCTTAATTCTCTATGCCGCCTTGCGCAGATCTTTTGGCAAACTCTCTATGAAACCATCGATCAGTAACTCCGAACGCGCGACATCATCCAACGTTGGGAGGGCTCGATGCAATAGGGCGCGCAGGGCCACTGCATGCGACAAGGGGTCCATGTCAACTCGGAGCTGCTCCGTCCTGAAGCTCCACAACGCCCGCCAGCGGTTGGCCGGGGTGTCGAATCCCGCGATCAAGGCGTCCTTTGCGGCGGCCCACTCCATCTCCTCTTCGCTCCACATCTAACACCGCTCGCGATCGGCCGTTGAGAAGAGCTCGGACGGCCGTTAACTTACCCTGGTCTGACCGACTTCCCACCAGCTGTGTGACGTCCGTGAACTCCTTCAGGAATGTCCGCATATCACCATCTTCGAAGGAATCAGGCCATGGAACCTTAATCCTGATCCTGGTCACAGCATCAGTTGATAATTTTAACAGACGATGCTGGTCGGGGATAGCTCTTAAGTGCGAATAACGTTCGAGATATGGTTGAATTGTCATTCATACAACAAAATATCTCATTTGAAACAAGGTTGCAGAATTCCTACACGCACACAAGATAGCCGATGGAACGAATCAGTATTAGATGCGCATTCTTGTGTTCACCATACCGAACATCAGCAGTTTGCTCAAACAGGTCTTGCTAATTTTGGTAGTTGAAAGAAACCGCATCTTTTTGCGTACTACTCATGAGTGAGTAGTATCTCACAACACTGATGCATTCGTCCCCGTGAGTGTAGTGGACATTGGTTGTTCGCAAATGGTGCCAACATTGTCCTCGATTCTATAGTTGGGCTATTGATTTGCATTGTTAGGTTACGCCTTTCATTTTCCAATTTATGATCATGACGTGCACAAAAGGATCCAGTTCGGTCTGAGCACGTTATTCATTATGGGTATTTATTCCCCAAACAACTGTTAACATTAAACCAAACGATGGAAGAAGCGATTTAGTATTTGAGAGTTTCCTTACAATTGTTACATGACTGATACAGTATGAATTTTTGTTTTAACCGAAAATTTATTTTTGAAGTGAAATATTGGATTGAGGATACCTTCGAATGAGCCGGAACTTCATCCGCACTTTTACAACACCTTTAATTTAACCAGTTCTCTTTCCAAACATCTGTAATTCGCATAGTAAAACTCATTCCAGAATGCTGCGAAAACCGCGCACGCACGCATACACACAGAGACACACCTGTGATTCTTATCCATAATTCATGCCGAAGGGAGAACGGATTGGGAAGATTGAGGTCGATCACAATGTGGTATGTGCACCAACCAACCCGCGTATCGATCTGGAATGGCAAACGCGTCCCCCGAGGGGAGGGTGGAAGGGAAACCATCGGCAGAAGCATTTTTGCCTAAAATTGACTTCCCACCAAAACGCATGCAGTATTTGATCAGTTTAGAAATTTCCCTCGTTCAGTGTATAATAATTTTCCACGTCTGCTGATACAAATAACTTACTTCTGGGTTCAGTAGCACACCTCAACAATGATGAAAACCATAGGAGCGTTACGTGTTCACTCGTTCTTCTATCCTTTCGTCTTCAACATCAGCTGGCTGAAAAGTCATCATAATATATAAACCCACCTCGTTAGAAAAGCTTTTATGGACGAAAGGAATGAGAGATCCGAGTGAAGTTGGTCCTGAGCAGTGATTTTACAAGCCGCAATTCACTGGTCAACCAGAGAGCTTTAATTGAGTGGCAGTAATACGTTTCTAATGAAAAAGGTTGACTTACAAATCTGGGATGAAAATGAGGAATTCGATCAGCGACCTCACCCAAAAAGCAACAATGACTTGGGTTCAGTTGATCCAAATGGAATAGGAGTTTTAAATCACTATCCAGAAAAGGTTTACAAGGAAATCAATTTATTTGCAACTTCGCATCAGTAAGAAGAGGTCTGGAATTCACTTTGTAAGGTAAAAAGACATGTAAGATCTTTGAATTGGTCCATGGTATACCACGTTAAATAGATTCAGCAGGTTCGATTTTACTTCCATTCGACACCATTGTGTTTTCTTCGTGAATCAACCCAGTTGCTCTCTTCTGTGAATCGCTATTTGAGCGTGATCCAGTCAATATACTGAGCCTTCAGCTGTATTTATTCAAACAACACCTCAGGAATGTTAAAGTGGTGAGTAATGAATGTTATTGTGTTCTATCGTTTGGATTAACATCCGTTTTGTTGCTTCAGTTAGGGCATCTCATCTTACATCCTTCCCACACCAAAGTTCGTGGAACAGCCTCATCGGCTTCATGTCGATTCGTTCACTACTTTTAGTAATACGGCATTTTATTGATTGAACAATCATATTTATGTATCTTTTTATTTATATTGTTGTCAGTCTAACTATACAGCCCTCACTGAATCTCGATGTAATGGTATACACGGGCGACAAACTATCTGTTATATGCATTTGACGGCTTGTGGTGTATCATTTGTGTAAATCTGAATCAAACCTTGTAATCACTTTAGCACGCAAACGTCCAAACGTTCATTGGTATTCAAATTTCACGTTCTTATTTTTAAAAGCATACTGGATCTGGGGTACACAACTGAACTTGAGTACACCCTTTTAAGCCACTGGACAATCCTTGGTCACACAAGAAAAACATTTCCAAGATTCAAGTATATAGATCGANCGAACCAGTGTGACGTTATTCTGTGTACCATACTAAACTATTAAAACCAACAATTAAAAATCCAGAACGATTATACGCAACACATTCGAGTGAATAACCAATGATTCAAAATCTAATGAAAAATGTTACTGATTTTTACAAACACTAATTCAACATGAATGTGACTTCGCATACGCGTTTACCCGAAAACGTTTGCAGTTTGCAGATGCCTGGCACCACACGACCTATTCATTTGGTTTACGGTGTTATAACTTTCACGCTTTGAGGATGCTTCATTTCTCACCGAATTAAATACCAGATTCTTTTTCAAGATCTTTCTTTTGGATATTAAGTGATCCGTTTGCGTGCCAACGTCTGATGCAATCAGCCCACTATGAATATTATTGTTCATTGGAACACAAATATCGTAAACACGAATAATTTGACATTGGT